GAACTTACGAGCTATATACAATGACTTCTCATTTTACCTGTTGACTGATTGAAGCCTTCATGTTCCGCAGAGTTGCAGGCGATAGATGGTGCTGAAAATTGGCCAAGCAAGAACGGACAACTACCAAATACCCTGCGCTTTGATCCCTTGACTTCAAAAACTAGTGGACTTTTTGTTGCAAAGTTCTCAAAATTGGCCATTTAATCTGGTTTTAGATGTTCAAGAGCCCGAGTAATAGTCCATGTCAATGTCAAGTGGCATGGGGGGGTTAGACATCTTTGATGGCACTTCGGGCGTTATCTTTGTGATGGAATATATTTGTACCTCATCGACTCTTTTTATATTCTTTTAACGATACAACCAATAGTTTAAACAGTAATCCAATTTATTTGAGGGAATTCGAACTTGGATTCGAGACAGCGGATTTATTGCCCTACCAAACTAGTCTAACTTAAGTCTGCTACATGAAAACTAAAATGAATTGGAAATTCAATTTGAGATGCCAATATACGTGACCACGTTTAAGGGATTCCAAAATATCCATCTTTAGACTGTTGGTTTGCGCAAAACTAAATCGGATTCTTGTTCAAATAATTTTCTAACCTAGAAATTGGATTTTATTTCCCAATCATCGCACGTGTTTGTGAAGCCTGAATCCTGAAATGCATGTCGCCTGAAATCAGTACAGATTCAGTGACGACATTAACAACCATTTCAATTATTAGCAAACCTCCAAACTTTAAACAGTCACCACTGACATCTCTTGATTAAATTGTCTGTCTTAAACGCCTACTAGACGAATTTTCAACTACTCCTCAGAATTTTAATTTATTTCATTAGACACCAGGCAGGCACACACAGGCCATGATCGACGCCTGGAGGAAGCAACAAGATGAATAGCGAACAAGAAATCTCAACTCCTCTTAGTAACAACTAACTTTACAACTCCACCTTTAATTTTTCCTTTTTCGCTTCCATTTATCTATCTCCTAACTAATTTTCCCTCCATTTTTCTAACTACCAACTGCTTCACAGTTCACAGCAACAAGACCGATGGCTCCGCTTCACGACCGCCGCGGGAGGAGTTTTCCGGCGACGAAAACTCTCCGATCGAGCAAGTCGCCCTCACGGTTCCGGTCACCGACGATCCCTCTCTCCCGACCGTCACTTTCCGGACTTGGACGCTCGGAGCCCTCTCGTGCGTTCTACTCTCCTTCCTCAACCAGTTCTTCTGGTACCGCCGGGAGCCTCTCTCCATCACCTCGATCTCGGTTCAGATCGCGGTGGTCCCGCTCGGCCACCTCATGGCCT